AAAAAATACATTGTAAATAATTACATACTTTTTCTTAAAAACAATTATTTTTTTATACTAATTGATTTGTCTCATTATTCTGTACATAAGAACATTACGGTAAGATTATCAAAAACTAAATATTTTACAAGATATTTTATTTTTTATATCAAAATATGTCAGCTTAAGATATAAAATAACTCAAAAAGTACTTAATGAAAAAATACTTTATTATAGTATTTTGAAAAGCTCTCGAGGTAAGCTACAAGAATATGCAATAAAAAATAGGAGACTTCATTTAAAAAAATAAATTTGAACTCCATGACATTGGCACGTTCACTCAAGGTCAAATCAATGACACCATCTTATGTCCCTCTTCGAACCAAACAACTTTTGTCTGAACTTTTTCCATATCTTTCCTATTTTTCGAGATATTTGACTGGGGCGATTCAAATGAAACACTCTGTATATGTATATACACGGTCGAACAATTAAGTTTCGAGACTCGCTTTGCATTTCCAAACGTTTGATCCGTTTGTACTGCCATTTTAGGGGGTTATTCACAACTCAATACGCGGTGCAAGTTTTAAATTATTTGGTTCAATGGTTAATGAGATAGTTGTGTAAAGTTGTATTACAAAATTTTGTTTAAAAATCGGTGTAATGGAAGGAACGCTTGACAACGCGCCAACATTAAATTCTGCATTAAATTAGTAGTCTCCAATAGAAACGTTACAAATGATTCAGCAAGCCTAATCCTCTGAAGCAAGCCCTTTCAAAATTTGATTCACGTTTTTTTTGTCATCTGTATCTTCGAAACTTTAGGGCCCGAGCACAGACTTTTGCATAAACGCATAACCATAAGCATAAGGAAATTGAGTCTGAGGGCTCGAGCACACACTTTTGCATGAGCGCATAACTATAAGCATAAGGAAATTGATTGGTCCATAAGTATGTGCATAAGGAAATGGACCAATCAATTTCCTTATGCTTATGGTTATGCGCTTATGCAAAAGTATGTGCTCCCAGCTTATTTCCTTATACATATGCTTATGGACCAATCAATTTCCTTATGCTTATGGTTATGCAAAAGTCTGTGCTCGGGCCCTAACTCTTGCATAGCTGACTCTTCATAGGCTTGTTGAATCATTTGTAACGTTTCTGTTGGAGACTTCTTTAATTTAACGTAGAATTTAATATTGGCGCGTTGTCAAGCGTTTCTTCCATTACACCGATTTTTAAACAAAATTTTGTAACACTACTTTGCGTGACTGTATCTCATTAACTATTGAACCAAATAATTTAAAACATGCACCACATGTTGAGTATTGAGTTGTGAATAACCC